ATGAGTATTTGGAATATTAGTTTCTGAAAATTAAATGAAATTTATGAGAGAATGACAAGAAAAATGGCCGTTTGAAAGAGTCCAAGCCAAGAACAAAACTGGGAAGAACTTTTTGTTAATTTTCTTCCCTTAGGGTTTCAAGCCAGCAGCGCCGTTTGGGAGGGGGAGGGGGCTTCGGCCTCTGGCCATTCCTCTCTTCTCTCCCCCCTTTTTCTTTTCCTTCTTGTTCTATGCTCAATAACCCTTGGGAGATCTCTCTTCCCAACCTTTTCCTCTTTGTGAGGATTTTTTCCCCTTTGGTGGAAGTTTGCTGGGTTGCTCCTCCTCCCACCGGTGCCGGATCTGCCATGCTCTTCTTCTCCGCTGCTCACCGTCTCTGCATCAACTTTCCACAGCCAGATCTGCTTTGGATCTGGTTGCCTCTCTCGATCCAGCGGTTCCTCCGGGTTTGAGGTTGTACGCTCCAATTTTTTTGTTTTTTTTGGTTTGTGAGTGCTATATGGAATCCATCGATGCTATTCTGCGGCTTATCCACTCTGTGGTGTAATCTATGACCTATCTTAGACATGCTCTATAGCCGGTCTTTTGGCCTCTGCTTGCAGTACCAGTACGAGCACGTGCACTTGATGTGCGTTTGAGATTTTCATAGTTGTATACCTGTGTGTTTATTTGATCTGATTTCTCTTTACTTGGTGTAAGCTAATCTTTTGGATGGTTTCTTTTTGTAAGTGCCGTTTGGCTTGAGTAATGAACATTTCTTCCTGATCAAAAAAAAACATAGAGTTGAGTCATCCAGTAACAGCTTGACACGGGTTGAAACCATTTTTTACTGATCAATTGATCCAGTTTTATGATAAATCATGAACTAGCCGCTCCCTACAATTTTAAAAAAATTAAAACTATAATTGAACGGTTAAACATATGTAACCAAACCAGATTGGAATCAATTTTACAGTTTTAAAAATTTTATATAACAAGAAATATGATATATTATTCTATAATAGTAAATGTATTGATAACAATTAATTTAGTTAAGTTGATCAAAGTTTGTCAATTTTACAATTAAGACTGATCAAATTTCATTGGCAACTTTATTTATATATTTTATTTTTACATACAAAAATATTTTAAATAAATATATAACATATATATCGGCTCAGTTCATAACTGTTTTAGAACTGGGAATAAGATCAATTTGAACAATTCAGCCAGCTTCGAAGTAAAAATCAAAATCAAAATTAATAAAAACCGAACCAAACTGATAATTTAAACCTAATTGGTTTGATTTATCCATTTTTCAGACACTCCTCTTATGTGAACAAAAATAAAATGATGTTGGTCTTATCCCGGTCTTGATTGATGAAAATGAGTCAATCCATCTCCAGCAATCTCATTATTAATGTGGCAACCAAGACAAAATTAATGTACGTTTTATTGGACTTTTGGATCAAATCAAATAGAAAGACCAAAAGGGTGTCTAGGATCTCAAACTATGTAATTGAATTTTGTTTATAAAAAAAAATTCCTATGTAATTGATAAAACCTTCTCTATCTATTACGGTTGAACACTATGATAAAATAACAATAATTGTTCGATGGTCTATCTTTGAAAAAGAAGCAATCCATCATTTATGACTGAGTTGTAAAAACTTTCTTTTTCAATTCATCCTTGGACTAAATAACTTATCCAATAATTTTTTTTTTTATTCAACTCCTAAAAATCAATAGAAAGCGTGTCATATTAACATTGGGATATTAGCGTATATATTCTATCTTACTGTTCTCCCCTCCTAACGTCTACATACAAAGGATTGTATATATACAATTTAAAAAACGTCATTTCTAACAGTAACATTGTTTCAATAATAAGAACAGAATTATGTAAATTTAAATAGGTTCAATTGACATCACTAAAGATTGAAGAGTTGACCTAAGTAATTGAAACACTCCCTTACCTGAGTTCGAGTTTTATTACTTTTACTCGATCTCTTGCAACACAAAACAAAACAAAAAACGCCAACAGAATGCAATATGTGGGGAAAAAAATTACCTATTACTACCAAGTCATGAATTATCATTGTTTTACATATAACAATTTTTTTAAAAAAAAATTTTGAAATACTTTTCCAAACTATTATGAATATTTTCTTAATTTGTCATTATGTCATTACGTTCGTCGTCACTATAATAATGATAGGGATGATACATATGGGTTGGAATCCCCCGACTAAAATAATGCTTGTGGGCATACAATTATGTTCTATAAATCTAAATTTGGTTTTGAATTTTGAAAATGTGTTTTTGAGCTTTTCTTCCTTTTTCTTTTTTGTGAATTCTTTTTTTTAATATTTTAATTTTTTTTTTAAATGTAATTAATCTAAATATACTAAAAAGTAAAATATTTGTGAATTTTTTTTATAAAAAAAATTAATAAAATCAAAATAAAAATATATTGAATTTTTGAATTTTTTTATTATTTGTATTTAATGAATTTTTTGTAAGAAAATCACAATTTTTGTACTTCTTAAGTGTAACTAGATTAAATTGATTAAAAATTTTTAAAACATTTACTAGAGGGAAAAAAAATAGATTGAAAACTCAAAACTGTTTTTGAAAATTTCAAACCAAACGGTGTTGTTTCGATATCAATAGTAAAATAGTCGGATCATATTTGTCTCTAAAAATTATCAATAATTAAATAGTCAAATCACATTTGTCTATAAAATTAATAGGAATACAATGGCTATTTCCTTTTTTAAGTAAAACATAATTCCATATGATTATCGATACCAATATACAATCAATCTAATTTTTATATGAATATTTTTCTCGACAAACTTTATAAAATGAATTACTCGAATCATTAAAATAGGCCCACAATATAAATCCAGTATTAGAATAGATGTGAAATTTTATTTATTTTGTCAATAGATAAAAAAAGTAAATAAATTATGATAAATATTTACATCAACAAACAGACAATTAGTTCATAATAACTAAAAAATCAATAGAGTCTAACAACCAATCTATTAAGCCCAACAATCACTACTAATCAGGTACGACCCCCATAATAGAAAAGAAATAAACCAACAAAATGTATCGAACTCTTCAAAATCCTCTCCAAAAGTAATTTTCGAGATTTCACACTATAAAAAATTTGTTACACAACCACTAGACCAAATGTTCATATCGAAATTGAAGTGAATTGTCATTCTATTTTTGTTATCAAATTTGCCCCCAACAAACAACAGATTTGACTTCATAAAATTTAGAGATAAACATGAAAATTAAAATTGTGCATTAACTACATAAATCAAAAATTGTTTGAGGAAATTAGATTCATAAATTGTTTGAATTTTTAAAATTTTAAATTCAATCATTCACATCACAACTTTATTTCATTGAAAGGAAACAATCATATATACAGCATCAGAAATGACACCACTTTTATTATTAATAAATTATTAAATTTTGACGAGTCTTTTTTTCTTCATATATGCATGCATCACATAGGTAATTCAATCATTTGACTATATGTAATTAAATTATTTGAATATCAATGTCTAATCAAATTTAATGTTTTATATAAATAATCTTTTCAATAAATTCTAAATCAACGTAAAAGAAGCCCAACCTTTTGAAAAAACAGTTGATATTAGCTCTGGCCGCCATGCTTGTGCAACCCCAAAAAGCATTTGGCATTTCCTCAAAGTTTATCCGTTTATTTTTATAAAAATTATTTTTTAATATTTAATTATGATCTTAAAATTAATATGTTAATAACTGTATTAGTTATTGTTGAAGAGGTGGTAACAGCAATGACAATAGTAATATTGTGATAAAAGTGAAATATTTTTTAACCAAATTAGTTTGTTTCTTGATATACCAAAAACAAAAATAAAAAATTATTTTCAAATACATTTTTCACCAAAACGAATAGAAAAAAGACATCATTGACCGTCAGTATTTTGGTATCAATGTTAATATTAAATCTAAGAGATATTTATTAAAGCCGGTAATATTAAGATTTTATAGAATAAAAAATATACAATATTTTCATAATAATTAAAATCCCTCAACATTCCTATAAAAAAAAATTGACTCAAAAACATTTTGTTTGACTCAAAAAAAATTCAATTTTCATAGAAAATTTTCAAAATTTCTCTAAATCAAGACTGAAATTTCTCTAAACCAGGTGAAATTTCTCTAAATCAAACAAACTGAGTCAAATTTTCTATATGAAAATGTTAAGATACCTTAGCTAATAAAAAAAAATTCTTTGACCTCTCCTACTACATAAAGTTGAAGAGAAATATTTCACTAATTTTTCGTTAAATCTATTACTAGAAATAGGCTTAAGGTACGAATCCTGTTGATTAGTTTTAATATTCATCAACAATCATAAAAACAAAAATACATAAATAAATAAAATAAAATGAAATATAGAGCTTTTTTTTTTGGGGTGAATAATGAAATATAGAGTTATTAACCCAGAAAATCACTATTATGGCCATATTTCTGTAAATCGTTTAAATGAATCGCATAAAATAACCAAAGAATAATAACTAAAGAACATAGCAGGAAAATCGAAAAAAGGCAAACGAAGAACAACCCATCATAAAGCATAACAAAATGGCATGTGAACATTCCTAGGAAACATATTAATCCACCATCATAAAATAACCCCATTTTGTATTTCTACTAGTTTGAGAGACGATTTCATTATTTTATGAACAAGATATAGATCACTCCAAGATAAAATAGAACCGAGTAATTCAAGTATGAAATCGGATGTTGTGGAATTGAAGATGACTTACCTCGGCAAAGAAATTTGAGCGGATCTCAATAGGAGATGTGGATTGCTTAATCCCAACAAAAAGTTATAGGACATCAAGTCCCCATAACATTAATATTGTAAACCTCACAGCTAGATGGGGTTTTAAGCGGGATTCGCATTTCCCCTGCAAATATTTTATCAATCACAGTTTTTGCACTACACATAACAAAAACAACAATTCATGTATGTACCTATTCCATCAAAAGCTATAAGAGAAGAATTACAATCAATATCTTGTCCAAAGCATAGCATTTCAGAAAATATGCACTGAAAGATTCAACACAGTTATGAGGCCCCGTTTGTCAGGATGCAGAGATCAAATACAAAGTTACTTAGTCGAAAGGAGTATATTCTTCAAAATTTAGTGAAACAACAAAAGACTGCAGCTGCATCGCCCTCCCGAGAAACCTGTTACAGAATAATATGCATTTTAATCCATTTCTGGAAAAAGCGATGATCATGAACTTATAGGTCTGTTTGGCTCAGCTGAAAACATTTTCCTATGTTAAAAAAAATATATATATATATATATTGTAAAAAACGTTTTCCTACATTTGGTTGCGTCTTTGAAACTAATATAATAGTGGTTATATTAGTGGTGAAGTGGAGGTGGCGGTGGTGGGGGATTGGTGGTGGTGGTGAGCCGGTGGAGGTGAAGGTGGTTGTGGTCGTGGTAATTTGGTGGTGATAGGGTGGTGGCACTAGTAAGACTTTTCGTCTGGAAAATGTTTTTCACCTTTCAAAAGTGGAAATATTTTTCACCCCAATAAGCTTGTTTTCTGCCGGCTTTTGTTTTCTGTGGTACCAAATGCCAAAAAATGCAAAATAAAAAATATTTTCTACCCAAACAAACGAAACGTAAAGTGCAAAGAGAAATCAGGACTTTATATTTAAAATGGTGATCGCTATGGGAAACCTCTTGCAACAGGTCTACATATTTTGGATCTGCTTGTCAAGCTAAAAACACCAAGATACTTGAGACAAATTACTGTGATTTGATGTCAGATTGACTGCACACGAATTTAGGGATATAGAAAATCCAAATAAATTGAAAATTAATTAAATATGTACCCCCAAGGTGTGTTCTTAGTTGAAAAAAGCTCAAAAGATTCAATGATCAAAATTGACGCCTTGGCCTGCCTTCAGCAATGCTTACTCGGATTGGCCTGCCATCTAGGTCCTACAGCAAAGAATAGAAGTTAGACGAAATTTGATAAAGGAGAACTGATCGTAAAACTACAAGGAAACTTCTAAAAATGTGTATATATTGCATTTATATGGGAATGGAAATCAAACTCCAACTCAACTCAAAGAGTCAAACCCCAAGAAAATAAAGAGGAAAGAGTATGAAAATGCATGCAAATATTGTTTAGGGTTGCAAACGAACTGAACCGAGCCGAGCCGAGCCGAGCCCCTTATTAGGGCTGCAAACGAACCAACCCGAGCCGAGCTTTGCTGAGCTTAACTTCAGCTCGTTTACTTATCAAGCTCGTTTATTAAGTTCTAGCTCAGCTCGATAAGGAACTGGGCTTGAGCTCGGCTCAGCTCGACTCGATAAATTTTTTTTAATATTATTTAATATATAAAAAATATATTTATATTATTATTTATATATATTTATATATTATTTAATATATAAATAATGTATCTATTATATAATTTAAATAAAGATAAATGAGCCGAGCTTGACGAGCCGAGCTTATGCGGGCTCGAGCTCGGCTCATTTACTAAACGAGCCTAATATTCGAGCTCGAGCTCTTAACGAGCCGAGCCGAGCTTGTTCATGAACAGCTCAGATCATTTGCCGCCCTAATATTGTTATCCATATTCTGGAAATTTAATACTCAGATACCAAGACTTGTTATAAAATCTTACACAAAGTCATAGTAAGGCCATCTCCAACCCTTGATACTTTTACTCAAATTAAGAGTCTGAGCTTCATTTGGTATGAAGCACTGCAATGGACAAACTCAAATTTGTGTAAAAATTGCTTTGTATCAAGTTTTCAATTGGATGATAGGAGTTGGAGTAAAGGCGAATTTAGAAAATTTAGGTAGAAGCACCTATGTGTCAAGTTTTGATTGGATAGAAATTTGAGTAAATGAAATGGGTCTCCCTTGATTTAAATCAAATTTTTAGTAAAGGTGTGGAGGGGATTTTAGTGGCTTTTTAGTCAAATTTAAGCTTGAGTCAATATTTGGGTAAGGGTTGGAGATGCCCTAACACCTATTGACAGTGTGCCAAAAAAATCCTATAAATAGAAAGAGTGATGGGAAATCCAATGGTGTAGTGATACTTGGCAATTCTAATGCTTGGTTTCATTGATGCATGTCGATAAGCAAAACGGAATGACTATATCATTGGCACTGTCATGTCCAACCAACTTAATAAATTGTCAAATGTTATAGGCAAATAAAAGCATAATGAGGAACAAGCACATATTTGTGTTCTATCTAGCAACATTAGTTAAAGAATCTTATATAAAACCAGAAAAATCCATAAACTTAAGCACAAACATAATGCAACATTTGGTGCCCATATAACAAAAAGTTAAATGACCACAGAACATACATATTTTTCCATATACAAATTCAGCTGGCGCAAAATAAAACATATTCAGGAAATACCTTTTTTTAGTGTAACAAATTAAATTAAAAATAAATCCAGGTAATGTTGACTAAACTCAACAAAGTCTTGTCCCAACTAAAATCAATAAAGTCTTGTCCCAACTACTTGGGGATCAGCTACAAGAATCCTGGTTTGCCATTCTGCTTGTTCAAGGGGCATAATTCAGTTAAAACATAACCCTCAATATCATTTCAACCCATGTTAATCACAGTCTACCTCGTCTCCTAGGATACCCTCAATAAGGATAGTGTCACTCCTCCCAAGTCCATGACCAAACCATCTTTATTAATTTTCTCTCACTTTATCTGCAATGCTCACTCTTAAAATTATTTATGTAAGAAATCCTACCACATCATACTATTAATTGAAGATAATTTTTTTTATTTTATTTTACAAAAGACTATTTCCAGCTCTGTATTTAGGACTAAGAAACTGAAATTTTTCCTTCGCAATTATTTGATCAACTCAACAACAAGACTATTCAACATATGCATCTCATTGGATTGCTAAGATGACATAGGGGAGGAAATGAAAACTGGAAAAGTGATAGGTGATGGTAAATAATCCAGAAAAAGATAAAAAGATACTCACAACACCATCCAATGATTCAATTGCATTGTTGACCTCATCTGCAGAACTGTAGGTTACAAACCCAAAACCCCTTGATCTGCCGCTATCTCTGTCATAAACAACCTTAGCTTCTATAACCTTTCCTTGCTCACTAAACAAGGTTGCAAGTGCTGACTCATCAACACCCCATGCAAGATTGCCCACATAAACCCTATTGGTGTTATCAAAACTTGCCCCACCAGCCCTGGGCTCTCTGAAAGGAGAATCTCCTTTCGGAGGAGGAGGACCAGAATTCACCCTCAATGCCCTGCCTTCCAGTTCCTGCCAAACATCATAAATTTCCGCATAGATGAAATAGATCTACAGAATTACAGTTCTTGTACATGCACATAATCCAATCTCATATTCGGACACAACCCTTGAACAATTCTGTGATTGAATTATGTGCACGTAGAATTTTTCAAAAAATTCCAATTTTATAGTTAAATCAACGAAGATACATGGAAGGCCTTCGTTCCTATTCCTCTGTTTCAATGCACACATAATAATCAAAGCAATTCAAAACTAACCAAGAAGTAGCACATTGTAGAATGGAATGTGGACAATAGCAAAGCTTACATAGCCATTAAATTGCTGAACTGCTGCCTCAACCCCCTCAGCCGAAGACATTGTCACAAAACCGAACCCTCGGCTCCTTCCAGTTATCTTGTCATATATAACCTACCGAAACAGCCAAGGAAAACACATAGGTTTCCTAGAACAAAAAAACTACATAATTTATTTTAAAAATTATATATATCAACTGAATTCCTAACCCCAGAAAAAACCCATATTTCATTCAAAGAACTTGCATAAATTAAGCTGGAAAAATTACAAAATTAACAAAAAGAAACGATTTTTACAACAAATAAACAAAATTATCCATCAAACACGACATTATTCAGAAAAAGAACCCTATTATTATCTGACTAAACCCTATGCCTTAACACACAAAACTGAACGTTTCGCAATCTCAACTTAATTCCTAACCCAGAAAACCCATATTTAATTCAAAGAACTAGCACAAAATTAAGCTACAATAGTTACAAAATCAACAAAAAGAAAAGGTATTTACAACAAACAAACAAACAAACAAACAAAATTACCCATCAAACACAACATTATTAACCAAACCCTACACCTCAATCCACAAAAAATGAAGAATTCGCAATCCAAAACACAACAAAACTAGCAGTACCTCAACCATCTCGACATTCCCAGCTCGCTCGAACAACTCAGCGAGAGTTGCGCTGTCGACGTTGAAAGGCAAGTTCCCAACGAAGACCTTGAGGTCAGGAGAGAAACTGGGTTCCTCTGCATCGCTCAAGACCTCCTCTTCCTGCTCGAACTCGGACGAAACCGCGACGTTTCGAACGACAAACCGAGAGGGCGAGAAATCGAAGGGCCTGGCAGAGAAGATGGAGGTGGATGATTTGATTGGGGTTTTGAGGGGAGAGGAGAGAGAGAGAGAAGAGGGGGCGGTGGGTTTGGAGTTGGAGAGAGAGAGAGAGTGAGGAGATAGAGAGAGAAAGTGGAGAGAAGAGGCAGAGGAAGACATTGTTGGGTTTGGTTTGGTTTGGTTGCAGATAAGGTTTTTGCAGAAAGGTTGGAGAGAGAGAGAGGAGAAGAGAGGGTACGAGAGTGGGTGAGCGAGATATTTATGGAGAGAGAAGAGAGTGGATTAGGAGCTTGAGGCTGTGTTTGGTTGAGGAGCGAGATAAACTATGCTTCGGATATTTCTTACAAGAAAAATGCTTGGAAGCACTAAAAGGGATCAGTAAAAGGAGCACTAATGATGTGGCAGTGGGCCCCGCCCACTTTCTATGTCTTGTTTTTATTTTTTTATTATTTTCTTTTATCATTTCCAATGTATTAATGTTACTCCCTCCGTCCCATAATATTAGTCCCTTATTCCATTTTTCATTGTCCCAAAATATTAGTCCCTCTTCAAAAATCAAGTACAAAAATAATATAAATTTCCTATTTTGCCCTTCTTTTAAATTTATAAATAATATAAAAAGTACAATTATGACATTGATATTCTCAAAAAAGTGTACTATCAAAGGGTAATTTTGGAAAACCAACTTTTTAAAAGTACAATAATTGTACTACCAAAAAAAGTTGAATTCCCCAAAAGGGACCATTATTTTGGGACGGAGAGAGTATTAATGATGTATTTTTTAGTGATCTAAATCATTATTGTTTCTTACAAATGGCTAGAAATAATCGTCAACGTTTTACATAGGGCTTCAAATTAATTGAAAACACCACGGGAGGCGTGGTGGGTTGGAAATACGGTGTAATTCGGGCGGGTTCGGTCAAATTAAGAAGTTATTTCAGTTCAATTTAAGTTGTCTTAAGATCTATTTAAGTTTGTTTAAACTTAAATTGTAACTTGAAGTTGTCTGTCTAATCTTGATCCAAGTTAAACCCGAGTTGTCTGAATTGTATTTTTTTTGTTTACAGTTACATTATTAAATTATTAAAATTTGACTCTATTTATAATTTTTTTTATATATAGAAAATTATTAATATCATTAAAACAAATAACTTATATAATATAAGAGAGATGTCGCTGTAGTAGTTTTATAATTTATGAGTGAAAATAAAAATAAAAAAAATAAGATTTTATATTATTTGTATATATAATATATATTCAATATGATTTAATAATTTAAATTATTTTAATATCATATAATAGCTAATAATTTATATGTATATTTAATATTTTTATATATCTATATATATAATTCAGATTTCGGGTTGCTCAGGTTGTTTGATGTCTTTGCCTAAGTCTGTCCAAATTTAATTCAGACTTTTGAATTTTTGCCCAAACCTATACCGAAGTTAAAAATATCTTATCCAAATCTTAAAAAAATTCAAATTAAATTCGAGTTGCTCAAATTAAACCCACCTAAACTGCACCCCTAGTTGAAAAGGCGCCCTTCTTTTCCACACACGAGAGGAGGGTTCAATTTTTGGGAGGCCCAATTAATAATTTATTTCTCAAATGATCAAGGTTGGTAACATTTTTTTTCTTGATTCGGTAGTGGATTCCTTTTTTTGAGTTAAATTAAATCTAACCGATTTTTTCTTTGAGTTAGGTTAAATTTAACGGGTAATCAATTATCTCAGGATCAGAACTTACCGATATTATGATGCTCTCACCAAACATCTTTTTTTTTAGTATTCAAAAAAAAAATAATTGAAAAATGTACTTTGTTTAGTTTGGAATTTTCAAAATTAATTTTATTAGTTTTTAATTGGTATTTTTTTATTTTTAATGAATTTTTTTAATATTTTAATCATTTTTTCAAAAATTTTATATTTACTTAGATGTTGATTGGGAAATGGTAGATTAGTATATTTTTTACTTTTTATGAAAAACATGAAATATGAGTTGAGTTTGGAGTAATATGATAGAGAAGTGATGTGACTCAAATAAAATAATGTACTAAAATAGTATGTGCTATTTTAGCACATGCCAAACAAAGCCTTAACCTAAATACACTTAAAAAGGATTAAATTTATGTAAAAATATTTCAAAAATTCATTAATTACAAAAAAAAATATTTAAAAGAAAATACAAAAAAATTTGGTATATTTTAATATTTTGTCGTATTTAATGATTTTTTAAAAAAATTATAAATTTTTTAAATGTATTTAGAACAATGAATTTAAAAAGAAAAAAAAAACATTAAAATGTTTGAAAAAATCACTAAAAAAAAATTACAAATTTAAAAATTAAAAAATTATTTTTGAAAAATTCAAGTCAAACAGAGTGATTTGAAGTTAAAAAAAATTGATCAATTTAGATAAATTTACCATCTGCAAAAAAAAAAAAACTTAGATAAAGTTTTATAATATTTTGAGAATATTTAATAATTTTTATAAAAATATTATTATCCTAAGGTATTATTTAAAGAAATTATCATAAAATTCCTATTATTTTTATGGAAGCATTATTCAGTTTTATTTCTATTAACATATTCATAAGATTGGCTTAATGGAAATTTAAGACTTCCTCGTTAACTATTGAGCTTCAAAGAAAGGAATTGATATGTTGAATGAAACACTTCCTTTATCAACGAGTGATGCTTAGGTTCAAGATTATGCTGTTTCATCTTCACATATACCTTATATTGATTGAAAACAAATTAAAAATGTGAAGCTTCTGAGTAACACCCATTTAATTAATCTCTACTCTCACCATATGTATTATAAATTTTATACTTCGTGAAACAACACTTACCAGATGTGAGTAATATATATAGTTATGTGATGGGTGTACTTAAAAACTAGGAGCTTAAATATACCATTCCATACCCATTTTCTCTTTTATCCTCACTTAAAAGATTGAAAATTTTCATTTGTTCTCTCATCCTCCCTTCGTAATTCCAAACCCATTTCATTTCTAACCTCATCACCTGATCTCTAAAGAGAAGGTGTAGATAAATTTGTTGTTAAGAGACAATGATAGAGGGATTTGCAGGTGAGTGCTAGGGGAAAGACTGCAATGAATAAAGGATAGCAGGGAGGAATGGGGAAGTGTCACGACTATACAAATTATTGTGAGGTAGAGAGCGGAGGAGTTGGAGTGGCAAGGAAAAGATAAAATTAATTTCAAATTTTAGGATTTTATCCTTTTAACACTGTGTTTGATTAAGAGATTTAAAAATGAATTTGAAAAGAAAATGAAAAAAGTGTGTGAAACTAAATAAAATACAGATATATTTTATTCACATTTCACCTACCTTTTTCATTTTCTTTTCCAAATCTTTTTATCAAATCATCTAACCAAACACAGCATAATGGTAATTTTACGGGATAAAATTGGTATAAATTTTTTTGATAATTTGATTGGTGTTGAGGGAAAAATTATCACTTTTAGGATTTTGTCTTTAATGGTTATTTTGTTTAGGGTTAGAATTGCAATAAATTTCTTGATAATTTGATGGATAGTACATTTTACTCAGCACAGAATATACAACTACCACCTTGCTGGAAATAGCTTGGTATGCTCAAGCTAAAAGGCCAAAATGTTTTGAGATGTAGAGTACCAAACATCACCTAAGGACAAATTTATCGAATGTAGGAGTAAAATCTTCTATGTTTTGGGAATGGTTTTAACTGTCACTAAAGTTGCCTAAGAAAATGTCATTCAAATAAATATCAACGAAACATGTTGATGATAATAATGTTACAGATAAATGAGAAAAAAAAAAAAAAAGATTGAAAGAACAAAGCTGATATCGATCAAAATATGAACATGCGATGCACTTAAAAAAAAAAAAAATTCCGGCTTCATCTTACTTCCAAATGAAAAGAAACACCGAGAGCTTTAATCAGAATCAGAACATGGTTCCTGAAAGAAATGCATATATACAAAGAAGGAAAATAAAGCAGCTTTTATCACAGCTCTAATAAACTAAAGCAACTTCCAGATTGCTGTTGGCCATACTGTATTCCCTTAATAGACCTTCATCATTCATGGCAGTTGAAATCAGCATCACATAGTTACATGCACAAGTAGCAAAAGAAATACCACTGTTTTTGGCCAATGATGAGTATAACCAGCCAAGCTTCAACAAACAAACATGAACAAAAATGAGGTATTTGAAGCAGTGGTGCCGCAACTTTCACAGACAAAGTACCAACATAATAATGCATTTTATTCAAGTCTCAAATGAAATTGTGGATTTCCAGGTGAAGTAAAGGTGAAAAAAAACACGTGATATGTCATGCCAAAACTAGTGTAACGAAAAAGTGAGCATCATTATACATGAAACTTGCAATCACAAAGTCTGAAGCGTCTTCTCTACACTGCATTGCTTGTGCCGCTAGTATTGAGATAAATAGGTCATAAAAATGTTTACACAAGCACCCACCACCTGCACCATAAAGAGAAGTCCAGGGGCAGGCTGGCAGCTGTCAGTACAGGGTTTCGGGAGAGTTAGATATACGCAGCCTAACGGCATGCAGAGATGATGTTCCCGCAACTGTAGGTAATTTGCAACTACAGTTAATTCTATAGATATAATTTAATATATTTGTACTGCAAAATGATAAATTAAAAATAATAATCATCCAAAGGAGGATTTTCAGCAATGATTTCTGTAATAATACCAATCACAAAGCTGCCTGCATTAAAGTAGCTACAAATCCATCACAGGGAGGTGCCAATAAACAAAATAAAGTTATAATCTTGTCCAGAAGGATCAAATCCCATCACTTGTAATCCTCAAAAACTAGATCCTAATTTTCACTCTAAAGAATGTGTCCCTTGTTTGATAGACTATGTTGTTCTCCCTCAGTCAACAGTAAATAAAAGAAGAAACAAGATGCTTGCATGAGTTGAACCTCATAAACTCAGAATTGAAAGCAGAGACAGAATACATTGAATTCCATATAACTTATTTTCTCAAAATGAAACCTCTTCTCAAAATTCTCAAAGTTGAAATCAACCATAAAATCTCACCTCAGAACTGATGGGAAAAAAGGAATAATGAAGTCACAAGGCAATGGATGCCTGTTTCTTCCCTTTCTTGCTCCTAGCAGCCTTATCCCCTCCCATCATCATCCTCGAGAGAATATCTGCTTGCTTTGTATTCCCCTCCTCGTTAAGACTCTTGATCAGATCCTTGCAGCTACTTTCATCAGTAGGTCCTCCTTTCTCCATTATTTTACACAATATTGAATATGCATTAAGAGTCTTCCCAGCTGCTAAAAGAGCATCTAATACCTTATCATAGCTTGAAAAGTCTATATTAAAGTCTCTCTCCAAACCAAAATCTAACAACTTCAGAGCAGCAATGGTTTTCCCTTTCTCACAAAGAACAGACAAAAGATTATCAAAATCAGGTGTGCAGCCACTGTGCATCAGTACGTCAATTCGTCCAAGGGCTTCCTCAACGTGACCCCTCAAAAGAAGAGCCTCCAAGATCTTAGCAACCAAGTCCATGTTCTCCTTGACCCCCTTTTCAACCATAGTATTCATCACACGACTTGCCGTTTGAATCCTCCCATCTTCAAACAGACTCTGCATCACCGATCTATAAAGGGCTGAATCTGGAAGATGCCCTTGTTCAATCATACTATCCAAAGCAGTTTTAGCATCAGCTGCCTCGCCTTTCTTCAAGTAGCTCTCAACAAGCAACTTGTGAGCACTTCCTTCAGATGGGACCTTTCTCCTAATCATGATGTTCAAAATTTCAAAAGCAGAATCAGGACTCCCTTCTGTTGAATGTCCTCGTAGGAGATTATTAAAGGCAATGGGATCCTGAACACCCTTTTTCATCAACTGCCGGAAAAAGGTTTCAGCTTTTGCTGTCTGCCCATTGTTGCAGAGGTACATTATCATTGGGTTATATGCACTAGGCTCCATCTCCAAAGTGCTCTGTGGCCTCAAAATAACTTCCTTTTCAATCAGCTTATCTAACAAATTAACTGCCCGATCAAACACACCAGCCTTGCAAAAATTCTCAATTAAGACACCATAATGTCCAGCCTCTGTTGGAATGCTCAACCTAATCATTGCTTTGAGCACATCTGCAGCTGCATCCAAGTTATCTGCCTTGCACTGGCCAGATATCAATCTTATGAAGATTGAATTATCCTTAGGAGGAATATATTTCTCCACCATCTCCTTCAAAATGTTTCGAGCTTCAGGCATTTTCTCTGCATCACAGAGCCCTGGCAACAGAGTAGAGTATGTAATTGCATTTGGCTTAATACCAAAACTTTTCATCTCTTCAAGCAATCTCAACGCATCATCAACTTGTCCAACCGAAACATACCCTTTGATCATGGTAGTATAACTTATCACCGTTGGAGCAATATTTCTTCCCTTCATCTCCACAAAAAACTTCTCTGCCTCCTCCATCTTTTTAACTCTATGATACCCATTAATCATCGTATTATACGTAACCACATTAGGCGAAATCTCTCTACTTTTCATCTCTTCAAAGAATCGATTTGCAGTCTCAACCCTCGATGAAAGGAAAAAACCCCAAATCATAAGATTGAAGGTGTGGCAAGTTGGCATTATCCCTTCACTCAACATCTTGTTAAAATACCTCTTGGCCATCATATACCGGCCTCGCCTCATTATCACTTTGAACAAAGTATCATAGGACTTTATCGTCCTCTCAACACCCAATTCCTCCATTTTCTGAAAAATCTTCACACTCTCTTGAACAATACCCGCCTTTCCATAGCTATCAATCAACATAACAAACATGTCCTCATCCCATTCCACACCCTTCTTCGTCATATCCAACAATATACACCGGGCATGATTGAGCTTCGAAGCTCGACCCAAAATCTCAATTATCTTGAAATGGGTTTCTTTATCATGCTGGAACAACCCAGCTCGCTCGACCCACCGGAAAAACTGGAGAGCATGCTCCGAGTTCCGAGCACCGTGCAATACATTATAAACAAGCGAATGATCAAATTCAGGCACTAAATTCCTAATTGAGTTCTGTAAACGAGTCGTCCAAGGCCGATTGGCCATCATTCTACATATAATATCCTCTAATTTTTCTGGGTTTCGATGCTTACCTCTTAGGGTTCTCTGATTCGCAATCACTTCAACATTGGGGCTTTCGGGCACGATCGTAGCAGCTGAAACAGGGGGGTCTGGGTCTGGGTCTGGGTCTGGGTTTGGGATTGGATCGGTGGAAGAGAGTGATGTATCGATTGGTGGGTCTGGAGCAGATGAGCAAAAGAAGTAGAGGGATTTGAGGGAAATGGGATTTGAAATCAAGTAAAACCTAGGTTTCAAAAGAGGCGGCTTTGATGCAGAGATATAGGCCATTTCTGGGTATTTCTCTGATCTGTGAAATGAGTGTGAAGAGACCGTAAAATGGAAGGGATGATTCTTTGTAGTGTCAAGTTTGGTTCTGTGAGAGAGAGAGAGAGAGAGAGGACTTTGAAAGGGTTAGGGTTTAGGAGAGAATGGGTTAAACTGTGGTGTATTGGCCTCCTTTAGAATAGGCTATTTTAGTGAATTTTTTTAATTTTATATGAGGATAGGAATGTCAATTTGAAATCGGTCCGACGGGGATTCTCGATCCCGACCCCGATTTAAGCAGTTTTTCTCTGAAAAATACCCCCGACGGGGAGAAGACGGTATCTAAAAATCAATCCCCGATTTGTTTCGAGCCGGGGACGGTGATCAATGTTTAAGCCCCGGCCCGGCTCGATCCCCGGCCCCGGCCCGATCCCCGAATTTTCCCGAAGTTAAATTACTTTTATACCCCTTATATATATATATATAAACAAAACCAAACCGTATATTTAATAAACCAAATCTGTGTTCAACTCTGATATATCTCTCACACTCATTCTCTGTCTCTAACTCTGATATATCTCTCTCTCACTCCCATCTCTCACTCTCTCGTTTCAACTCTCTCTCTCTCTCGTTGTTCTCTCTGGCCCCGACCCCCCTCTCTCTCACCGACGGCGACATCACCCCCACCGCTGGCCCCAACCCCCCCTCTCTCTCACCGACGGCGACATCACCACCACCGCTGGTCTCTCTCACCGACGGCGACATCAATAGCTTATAACTTATAGCTTTTTGGAAGTCAGAAATCAGCTTATTTTTTTAGTGGGGCAGGAGATGCTTTAAGAATAAGCTGGAAATCAGCTTAAGCTGATAAGCTGTTGAGGTATAAGTTATAAGTACTTTCCCACAGCTCTACCAAACAGGGCCTATGTAGGGATCACACCAATGTACGGTTTAAATTTAGCGTGGAGCACATTGAATATTTTGTGTTAAACAAAAAGTCAATTCAACCCTAAGGCCCCGTTTATTTCGGGAGATAGAATGGAGGAGATTGATAGTGAAGGGATTAATAGTGAGGGGATTGATAGTGAGGGGATTAATAATGAGGAATTGTTAAATTATTTTTATATAAAATAATAAAACATTTGGATTAAAATATTTACTCTTCCACAAAATAAATAGGATTAACGGAAGATGATTATATAAATGATAATTTTGAAATTAAAGGAGAAAATTAGTACTCTCCAAAAGCTCTGATGAATAGAAAGATTCGTTTTTCTTCTATCAAATAAAAGATAAAATTCACTCTAAAAAATAATTGTATTAAATTAGATACTTAGGCCATGTTTGGTTCAATTTTCAAAAACTAATTTTAGAAAAAATTTCTAATAAAATAAAAATTAATTTCATGAAAAAATATAAATAAATAATAAATACTTATCATTTTTATATAATTTTATCTTTTTTGAAGGAAAAAATAATAATTTTAAAAGTAAGCTTTTGATATTTATTTTTGTCAAATTAATTTATATTGTTTTCAAAAACAAAATTTAAAAAAAAAATCAACGAATGAAACCAAACATGGCCTTAATTACAGAAATTTAATTGAGTATAATTTTTGACAATAAAATAATAAGAAATATTATGTAATTGCCCCTATCCAAACCTTTAAAATTTGGTATGTAAATTTTGTTTGAAGGCATATAAGTGACAATTTGACATATCAAATTGACATTTTTCAAGGCGAAGTCTCCACCTAATATATCAAATGTATATTGTGTAGATTGTGAACATGGGCTTCTTTGGTTTGTTTTTCAAATAAAATTTTGAGAAAAATTCTCTATAAATAAATTTTTAAGAGTAATTAAGCCAAACAAATTTTTTCTAAAAAAATCTCAAAATTTTGTTTGGTTACCTACTTTCCAAAATCACTCACTCTCTCATACACATCAAATCAATCACTTTTTTTAAAACTTTCTCCCTAAAACTATTTCTGAAAAAAGATAAACCAAATAAGTTTTCGTACTTTTTATCTCAAAAACTACTCTACAAATACAAACCAAACAAACTCCGCATCAGCTTGTGCCGAATCCATTTAATGAGGGACCTGGGTGTTTGCTGTGTTAGCAGGTGCTGTTATGCGGTTTTATGGGTTCATTTTAAGATTCGATTTGATAATTTAAACCGTTACATTAAGTATAACATATTTATAAAAAATTAAATTAATCGAATATCGTTAATCCTTTTATCTACTCACATTTGTATTCATTTTAATATTTTAAATCACAATGTCATTTATTTTTATAGATATATGTACGGGGAGCAAATATTCTGGCAAGCCCGCACTCCTTTCTTCCAAGCTCCTGCCTGTCCGATCGACCTGCGAGTACAACGGCGGTGAGCTACCTGGCAGTGTGTGGCCGGAATACCCCTCCGACGATCAAGTTAGACACACACAGGGACGGAGAGAGAGAGAGGATTGAGTGTTTAGTGTAAATCTCACCAAATGTTTATCTGTCTCAACATGGGAGGCGCAGACTCGCTTATATACTTTCTGTGCCCCAAATCTACTCCCATTAGTCTCTCGACACGTGGTGCTGCTATCCCATCTGTCAGCTAAAATCTAGCTGAACATCACCAAACCAAACTGCCAGCCCATACTACTGGGAGCTCGGCAGCCGGGCTGCAGCGTCTCGGCTGCCAAAGGTCGTGCTGTGTTGCTAGCCAGAGCGCTCCGTTCGTCAAGCTCAATGGTGACCGAGCTCGATTGCTTTCCGACATAGCCAAGCTCGGGACAGCTTATGCTGGTTAGCCGTCGGCCTTCCTGCCAAGCTAACCCACGAGCCATGGAACCCAGTGAGGCAGCGAACATCTCGGCCAAACCATCACTCGACCGGTTTCTGCACCCTGAAGCCAAGTAGCTCAGTCCAACCATGCCTTGCCTTAACTGAGCAGAACCTTTCTAAACAGGCCCATGCTACCACGGCCCAACTGCGTTCGGCCCAAATCTGCCCAGCCATTACCGCAGCCTAATCCAGATCATAAATCTCCCTCTCAATTGCCCCTTAATCCCGTCCGCATAAGCGTGACTGGGATTATTTGTTCTAACCAGGGTAAACTCTTCATCGGTCCTCGGTTTGCAAGACGACAACCAGGCTAGTTGACATGACTGGCTTCTGAACTTGCCCGGTCGACGCCTCGACTTGCCATCTTGTCTCTTCAGTACTTACGTCGCCGCCAATAGGAACACGTGTCGCTCGTCTATTGGCCTCGAGCAGTCAACCATGACGTCCCTTCACATTCAAATTTTTGGTGGTTCTTCACCCCTACAAACACGCCATATCCCCCTTCATTTCACTCTTACTGACTCCCCTTCATCCTTCGACGTTCCAGAGCTCCAACCTCCATTCTTGTTCCTCTTCTCCGTTTGTGCGTGAAGACTCAGATTCAACCCCCTTCCTGGTAAGTCCTTCCAGCACTTTATTGCTATTTCATTTGATATTTCACATTTTAGGGCACTAAATCCATAGGTTTTAAGATATACCCCCCAAAACCCACACTTGTCCTTGTTCTCTTCGTTGTTCTTCAATCCCAGCGATGAACACATGAACACACGAAGAACTGGAGAGGACCGAGCTCCAGGTCGCCTTTTGATTCAAAAAACAATTAGACCGAGCAATTTACAAGTTTGCCAAAACCCTAGTAGAAACCGAGGTATTCAGAGGACTTGGCCGCTCGACCGGGCTAACAACTGGTCTGCTCGAGCGACCGAGCTCCTTGGTTTGCCTTCGCGACCGGGGTGGTCTGGCACTCTTCATGACCGAGCTAAAGTCAAGCTCGTTTTTCTCGACCGCGCTTCCACTTACACTTGCCATCCTTTTCCTGCAGAGTCCAAGAGGACCACTGACCAATTACCGAGTCTCTCAAAGACCGAGCAGCGATTAAACACCAGTCTGTGCCAAACCACCCCAGCCGAGCTAAACCAGCCGGCTACACATGGGGCGCTTCCGCTTCCTTGTTGATACTCCGGCTGCCCTAGCCGTGTTCCGAGAAGAGTACGGTATCCTGGCCGACGTCCACCTAGAGCTCGGCAAAATTGAGACAATCCCTTGGGGCAGATTAGACCAGTGCCCCTTCACCGTGCTATCCATCATTGAAGGAGGCCTCTGCCTCCCGGTCAACCCACTGATGGCCAAATTCTTGCGCCGCACCGGGCTAGCACCCACTCAAGTCTCAACCAACACTTACCGAATAATCAACGGAGTCCACGAGTTGAACAACCGGCTAGGAACCAACTTAGGTTTAGCCGAGATACTCTATCAATACACCCTTGGGCACACGAGCGACGGCCTCACCTATTACTTAAAAATTCGACCGGGCAAAGAAAAAATAGTGACTAGCACCCCAGACAAGGACTTACACGACGATGACTTTTTTTGGGTGTCTGGAAGCTATGAAACGGCCGACGTACTGGGCTAGTTTATTAGCAAGAACTTCAGCGAGACATGTAAGCCGTGCTAACTGCTCGGTCAATTTATCTTTCTTCACTATTCTGTACTTGACACTTTTCTTTTTTCCTTTACAACGATCCAAGCCTTGCAAGCCAACTACTACTCCCCCAACGAAGCAGCCATCAGGACCGTGCTCCGTTACAGTAACTGGGATTGTAACGAGCTCCTCAGCTACACTCCAACATACTGATATTCAGCTCCGTACCGGCGTAAAGTCACTGTCTTTCTCCGCGCTCTATCTTTGCCGCCAGATCCCACACTGCCAGACGTCCCCTTCATTCATTTAACCGAAGCAGAAGAAATGGCCCAGAGGAGCCGCATTAAGAACTTGCTCACTGCCACTTCGTTCGAGATCCCGAGCATTCCAACCCACTCTCTAGCTGCCGGTCAATCCAACGGGACCGTGGTTGCGTTGGCTTCTCCAGCCGCCGGGCAAGCCAGCAGAGACTCTCGCCGGACTGGCAAAAGGCCTCGTGCAGACCCTTCTGCCGAGCTAGTAACTGAGCTCAACACCGAGCAGCCTACCGTCACCGTCGACCCAACACCGGCATGGAGGCCCCAGCTCACACACCGGGGCAAGGAGATCTCGGCAACAACTTCCGTTAAGGGCGACAAAGAGCATCTTCTCACCTTTAACCTCACCAAGGCCCTTCTCCTACCGAGC